CCAGGCGCCCTAATCATGGATTCCTAATCACCATCTACAACCTGCTGGACCTTGGCTTGGAGAATCATCATGCCCCAAATCTGAAGAACCTCAGTCCCGTCCACAGTGTCCTATGTGGTTACTAAGAATCATTCTAATTGAGAAAGAACATTAAGTTAAGAAGGAATGAGGCACATTTGATACTTAATATGTTTATTTTCTTCTTATTTTATTATTTTTTTTTCAAATTCCAGGTGAGAATTATAAATTAAGAGTGAGTTGGCCTTTTCATAAGAGCTGAAGTGTGTATTCCATCAGATAGTTGATTACACCAGTTTCTGGATGAGCAGACACCTGTATTCTGGCCTCTTCCTTGCTAATCCTCAGGAGAGGAGATTCAGAGAGCAACACGCAGAAATAGTGGCTTTGCCACTTACATGACTATTAACATGTTTATTTTTTTATTTTTTTTTAAAGATTTTATTTATTTATTTGAGACAGAATGAGAGAGAGAGAGCACATGAGAGGGGAGAGGGTCAGAGGGAGAAGCAGACTCCCCGCCGAGCAGGGAGCTCGATGCGGGACTCGATCCCAGGACCCCAGGATCATGACCTGAGCCGAAGGCAGTCGCTTAACCAACTGAGCCACCCAGGCGCCCCGACTACTAACATGTTTAAATAGCATGGTATGTATAAAGCATCCAGCACAATATCAACCAGAGACCAAGGCTGCACAGTGGATACATTGACTTGTATGCCTAACTCCATTTGTTTACTGGTCATATAGTCTTGCCTGAAAGGTTCTATATAAAATTTGGAAGCTGCATCTGGGTTCTGCAGAGAAAAGCCATGATGAATTGATGTCTACCAGGGTCATGGGAAGGAAAGGTGATGAGGGGGCATGCAACATCCTCAGACTTACTTATCTATCATCCCTGTAAAAGGCAGTTACTATGACTTCCCACACTCCACAATGTCCCTTGGCATCAGTGGCCTCATCAGTCTAATGGGTACAGTCAGACCGACCATATGTGCATCCCAGGGAGATAGGAACTGCAGCTGAGTTGATGTCTGAGAAAACTCTTAGCAAGGTCAGTGGTTGAAAAACATCATTTGAATGATTATTTTTCATTATTTAATCATTCACAGATCCTAGAGTGGCTTATAGAACTTTATAATTTTATTGCATCACAAAGCCTCAGGTTAGAAATGCAAAATTAGAACAAATATTGTCTTGGAATTCAAATAGGTATATTCCGACTCCATTGCCCCCTCCCCAGGATCCAGACTCCTTGTCCCAGCAGAAATTCCTGACATTATCTAGCACCAGTCTGTACCTGGGAATACATCTTCCAGAACTCTACCTCGTGTTGTCATATTTCTGCCTATAATAAACACAGAAGCTTCCTAAACATAGGAGTCTTGTCTGATGTGTTCCTGGCAGGATCCCTCAGGCTCAGAGAGTCTGGTACATCGTAAGCCCATAAGAAAGATTTTATATAGTCCTCCTGGGAGTCAGCCCTATAAGGAAGTAGTTGCCCTAGGACAGAAAGCTTTGCTGTCGTGGGCAAAAAGATTCTACTTCCCCACAATGTACATGCAGGTGGGTGCAGTGTGGTAATGGGGAGTTTGACAGATTGTGTGCAGCCAGGGGTTTGGGCTGGCTCTCCACTCTCCTCTGGTCTATCAACGGGTACACAGAAAGACTCCTTCCATGCTAGAGATGGGAAGCCAGATCCAGCCTCCAGATTCAGGGAACCTTGCTAATGAGTTCATGTGTCAAGACCCCAGGGGACAATGGATGACTAATTGAACTCTACATTAGAAACTAATGATACACTGTATGTTAACCAACTGAATTTAAGTTAAATAAATAAATAAATAGATAAATATGAATGAATGAATGAATGAATAAAATAAGTTTAAAAAAAAATCCCAAAAAATGATGATTTCTAAGTAAAAATGCAGCCTAGGGTAATGATGACTACTTCACAGCAAGTGGGCAGGTTCTTGGTGAGGGAGAAAAGGTAGACACCCTGAACTGTTCCCAGAACAGAAAAACTGTTCTGGGAAGCCATTCCCAATTCTCACTAGTGAGAGTTACTTATTCTTAACTCAGTGTTGCCAAAAGAGCATTGGCTGATAATGATCTGTCCCAGTTCCCTGTTTCAAATAGATATCTACATGTCTTCATCCCAGTGGGCTACAGTCTTACTGGCAGAAGAGTGGGGTTTGTATATCTGTTGGAGGAGGTCATCAAGAAGGCATGACTGCTGGTTGAACACTGAACTTATTCCAGATGTCTTTCCTGACTCACGTTTATCCATTCACCCCATTGCAATCTCTGGAATCATTTTAAAACATAAAACGATTGAATGCCTCACTTGTTTGTTTCTTAAAGTTCTTCAGTGGCTTCTTATTGCAAATAGAGTAAAATACAAAGTACTTTCAAGTTTTAGACTCTAGGAGATAATTCATAGTCTGACACTCCCTGCCTAACTTCCCCATGCTTTCCCTCTCATACCCTATAACAGCCTCCAGGGCTTTATTTCCATTTGTGGAGCTCTTCCCACGTGATGTGTTGGCATTTAACTTTCTCTGCTTCGGGTTCTCTTTCCCCTACACTGTATGAGTCTGACCCCTTTCATCTTCTTTTCTCATTTTAAATATCGTTCTCTCCCACCATCCTGTTGAAATAGGTACCCTACGCTGTTCTCTATTAGGAACACTGTTTTCTTCCTATCACTGACAGCAGTGTTTTATTATCTATTCATTGCTTTGTTCGTATTTTATTAACTGTCATCTTTACTGGACTGGAAGCTTAAAAGCAAAGACCATATGGTTTGGTCTTCTTCTGGATACCAGTATCTGCAATTGAATCTTGCCTAAACCATTGTTGAATGCACATTGTAGGTCTTAATAAAATTTGTAGGAGGAAGGACAGGAGCTGGGAAGGAAGGAAGGAGGGAGGGAGGGAGAGAAGGACGGAAGGGAGGGGGCAGGAAGTGGACAAGTTCATGATGTCAGCGAGGGCTATGAATTCACTAGCATCTAGGAAGAACCACATCAGGTTCAACTGACATCTCTATGAAACCATCCCTGGTGCCCATGGGTAGGATTGGGTGCTCCCTTCTCTATGTTCCCATCACACGCATTCTGTATCTTTGGAAAGAAAAAACAAAACAAGAGTTACAATCCTATGTGATGCCACTCCCACCACGAACACCCAGTTGACAGAGAGCCCTAGCGCACTGTGTGGGGCTGGTGCGTACTAGTCTGACAATAAAACTAACTGTGGTTGTTAATACTAGTTTCAGTGGTAGTATCATAAATAAACTCTGTACTTTCTGTGTAAACTAAATTCACCTTTGTCCTCTCCAAGCCCATGTCTGTTGGTGTCAGGCTTATTACTCAGGACATGAGCCTCAGGCTGAGTTTTTTGGGGGGCTTCCGACCCCTTTACATCCCAGCATCAGTAAAGGCTATGCCTCCCACATGTGCGTTATAGCAGCTCCTCTTCAACTTAATGTACAGACAGAATACCTGGGGATCTTGTCAGAGCACAAAGTCTGATTCAGTATATCTGGGGTGGTCCAAGCCTCTGCCTGTCTAACAATTCTAATACACAGATCACACCGAGCAGCAAGGCTCTATAACACACTTGAATCCAGACCGTCAACATAGAAGCACTTTATCAACCTCAGGAGGAATTTTCTTGTCTGTTGACAAAAACCCCCCGGTAAGCCTAGAGCCATAATTCAGTGTCAAAACTAATTTCAGATAAATTGAACGGTAATGGTGATCACATAAACCACTCGTTATTGATTGGCCATGCGTAACACGGGATTAGTGTTTACCTTGTATTGATGGAGGCTCTTGAGTCAAGTCACTTGGGTTCTCACCTTGCTGTGCTATTTGCTAGTTATGGGACCCTGGCAAGCTATGAACCTCTGATCTCCTTATCTGTGAGGTGGGCATAGTAAAAATATCTCTCCAATAGAGTCTAGGCAGGAAATAAGACACAGCACACTGCTCTTAGCACAGTGCCAGCAAAATTTAAGTGCACTATATATTTTATCTGTTTTTTTTTATTGGCAGTTTTTCTGTTCTGGGAAGCCATTCCCAATTCTCACTAGTGAGAGTTACTTATTCTTAACTCAGTGTTGCCAAAAGAGCATTGGCTGATAATGATCTGTCCCAGTTCCCTGTTTCAAATAGATATCTACATGTCTTCATCCCAGTGGGCTACAGTCTTACTGGCAGAAGAGTGGGGTTTGTATATCTGTTGGAGGAGGTCATCAAGAAGGCATGACTGCTGGTTGACCCTTACGCTGGACCCGGAGAATCAGAGGCTCCTCACCTCCTCCCCTGTCCTTGGAGCATTCATTCTGTCCCCACCCCCATCCCCACAGTGAGAGCCACTTCCAAGGACACAGCCCGGAGAGAGCAATGTGTTGTTGAGACCATCTGGATGGTGTATGTAACTGAACGTCATCCAGGCCTCTCTATAAACTTTTAAGATGCTGGCGGGAGGTGCAGAGACTTCTCACCTAGCACCCAAGACAAACCTCAGATGTACGCTCCCTTGCTCGGAAAACTGCCACCTACCCATCCGAAGTGGTCTGCTTCTTTCTTCCATCTCCCTCTGCCCTCCATGTATGGGGGCCAATTTTTGAACCAACAATATCACAGGTGGGTCATTATGTTCTGATTTGGATTACTTGACTTTTTTAGATAATTCAAAGTGGTATTTCCACCACTATCTTTAGTACCAGGTATTTTCAAAAGTTCCCTACTGACTAAAATACCTCTTTACAATCCATCTACCCCTGTTGTCAAGGCCCAGCCAAACCAGCTTCTTTAGGGCAGCCATTCCTGATACTCCCGGAAGTTCCTCTTCATGTTCAGAATCAGCAGCATCCTATGTGAGTCTCCTCATGGCACAGTTGAGGTGGTTCCCCTGCAAGATTAGCTTCCATGTCACATGTGTATATATTGTTTTTCTTTTAGTCCTAATGTGAGCTTGGTTAACATTAATAAAAATAATATCTAGTCTAAGGGAGGTGATATAGTCCCTCTCTTTATTGATAAGGTCCTGCCAGGGCAATCGAATTCCATGCTAATCACTGGACTCTATAAAGTCAGATAGACCCACAGGAGAACATACAGACTTAAATAGAGTTTTGAAGTGAGTCCAAATCATATTGTATCAGCAAGAGAAGAAGGGACAGGCAAGTGGAAAATCATATTGGCATGACTGAACATTTCCTTGTGAAAGAGCAGGCAGACTTCCCATAATGTTTCAAAGAGAACTGTGTACTGAAATAAATCATGACATCATTCATAAAATATTTTCTAATGATCCAAGTTGTGCAAAGCATGACATGGACTGACATAGCAGTAATGAGTTCTTCACTTGAGATGTCCGATCCCAGGCTAAATGGCCATTAAATGAGGTTCTTAGCTCTGCTACACAAGCATCAGATGATTGTGGATCCTCAAAAAGTACAGACTTGAATAAATAAATTAGACCTGTTTCATCCCAGACCACAGGAAACTAGCTATCTGGCAGATACCCTAAATCTATCTGTTGACTAACCAATACCAAAACAAAACTTTAGGAGCCTTCTGGGTAGTGAATTCGCTTTCAACAGCCAGAAAAGTTTGAACTAAGAAGATTCCTTACCCTAAATTTCCCATTCTAATTGTGAAGACACAAGCAATAAATGTAATTACCTTGTATTCACATTCATGTCATAACTATTTCTTACCCAGTGTCTGTAACTATCTCAATTATCTGGAATGGTTTAATACCACCGTCAAAAATAGGGTAGAGTTGGCAATAACAATAAAGCTAAAGAGGGTCCTGGCTACTTTATGACTCTGTGGAGCCATTATGTTCCTCAGCATCCAAGTGAGGCAGATAACAAGAGGAAATTAAAATTTTAGCATCCTCAAACAACAGTATGGTTATTGCTTATTAATTATGCCAAAGGAACACAACTAATGAGTTTAATAGGTAGCATTATGCATGCCAGCGACAGATCGGAGGAAGGCAGTGGACCATATAAAATTCTTTAGGGGAACAACTAGCACCATCTATTACCAGTTACTCAGCACACCCAAGACAAATGGAAATAAACCATGAAAGGCTGGGAGAGACCTTGATTCATAGCCTTTTCATTTTGAGTGTAGATTACAATTTGTGCGTTGTAACAATCATTTTCACAGGGATTATTTTTTTTCCCATCAAAGATAACTAGCAACAATTTTGAATCTTTTTTTTTCTTATCTCTTTTCTTCTCCCAGTGAGAGTAAGGGCAGAGGAAGCAGAGGGTGGGAGAGAAACGTCTGCATGTTTGAGAAGTGTACCTATCATGAAAAGTAATTTATAGATCAAAAGGTAAACATATTTTGAATTCACGAGATGATGCTGTGTTGTTTTCCAAAAGCACTTCTGAAATTTGTATTCTTATCTTCATGCATTAGTGAACATACTTCTCCACCACAAGGTGATCATTTTAATTTTTTTGTGTATTTTTTAAATCCCCTATCTAATGTAAAATTGTATCTGATAGTTCTTTAATTTGTATATCTTTAGTTTCTAGTGCATTTTTCATTATGTCAAGTGTCTGTCATTTATTCTCCTATAAATTACCCATTCCTCTCATTAACAATTATTTTATTAAGTTGTTTTTCCTGTTAATGTGGAAACTATTTATATATTCTGGGTATTGGTCAATAAAAACCCACAGATGTTGGGATGATCAGACAAGGACATTAAAACCTTGATAAGGAACATGTTTAAGGAAATGAAGTTAAATATAGTTATGATGAATAAACAAATGAAAAATCTCACAAGAAATGGAAATTATTAAAAAGAAGCAAATTAATGCAAGTAATAAATACAATAACTGAAATTCACTTGGATGGATGAATGGATGGATACTTAGATATATTTAGAATCCTAGATTACATGGATTTAGAATCCCAGAAAGAGAGGAAAAAGAGAATTGGAAACAATATTTGAAGGTATATTTTGGAAGCTATACATTTGCCATCATCCCCTTAATAAATCATTTCCCAGGAACTGACTTCTCCACTCCTAGACACCCTCCATTGCAAAGACCCTGCGTTCCACCCAACTTAGACAGTTCACTCTGTGAGCTAACCCTGTATCACACCATCACAGCATGAACATCTCCTAGACAATCTTCTCTTTAGTATCCTATTTTCTGACCACTATCTCCCTCTCCTCAAGATGACTACATCTTGGAAACCTAAGACAACAATATTTGGATCTTCTGAGGTCTTCCATTTGCCAACACCATCACTTTTTCATTGTCTCTCATCTCGTGCTGTCTGTATTTCCTCCATCTACAGATATGGAAATCCGTTATCTCTAGCAATCCCTTCCAAAATCCTCAGTTCCCTTGCCCTACTCCTACTCTGAAACTCCAGACCAATCATTTGCCCTGTGTCTGTGGACTCTGTTGGAGAATGCTCAGAACCGTGTTAACTGGTTATACTTTAAATTGATGTCCATAACTCCAATATTAATATCACCTACCAAACATTTCCTGGAAGTTTATTTTTCAGCCTCTGAAGACATTATATATATTGTGGTCTCTACTCAAACCTCTAGCATCTTTCCTCCAATCTAGCCAACCAATGACTTTCCCCAACTCATTATTCAAAAAAGAACACTCACCGAAAGGAGCTCACTCCAACAAACTTTTTTTCTTTGCATCTGGACCCAGGTGCTCTGTCTTCTCCACTATTAAAATGGAAAATGAAAAATATATTGAATTTTACCAAGGCTACTCAACCAACTTGTATTTGAGCACCTTGTGTTCTATCCCCAATTACCTACTTGAGTGTTTCCCTCAGGTGGTTGTCTTCTTTCTCCAGCTCTGTCAATGTCTAAGTCACCACTGGGGTTTATCAGTAACATAGCAAAAATTTGTTAGAAGGGTGTTTATGGTCAAGACCCTACTTGCCTGTGTACTATGCGGCCACTCTGCTGTAATTTCCTCTGCTCCTCTAGGACTCCCTCCCAGCCCTTTATCCACCCTACTCCTGCTACCTACTCTACAGACACATTTTTCTTATCATAATAAATGGCTCCATTTTTCTGCCAGTTGCTTAAACAGGAAACCTAAGACTTACCTTTTAACCCTATCTTTCCCTCTTCCCCAGTATCCATTCCACTAGGACGTCCTAGAAGTTCTAGATCTAACTACACTTTGACTGTGTTCTCTCCTTCTACCATCACTGTTACTCTGGTCAAAATGATCATCATTTCCACATGGAAGACACAGCGATCTCCTAACCCACCTTTCCTCTCCCCATCCTAATACCCACAATTCCTTATTCCCTAGAGTGATCTTCCCTAAACAAACATTGTATCTTGGCACTTTTTTTGTTTAAAATTCTTCCATGGCTTTCATGCTAACAGTAAAATACAAAGCCCTTGCCCTGCCTACTAAGCCCCACATGATCTAGCCCCATGTGTGCTCTCGACCTCAGCTCTAAGTATTCTCCCACTTTCCCACAACAATCTCAACAACCTCGCTTCCTTTCTGCTCCTTGGACACAGCAAGGTAATCCTTGTATTAGAGACACTGTGATAGATTTTCCCCATGTTCTTTTGTTCCAGCTCTTCAAATAGCCATCTTCCTCATTTTTCAAATAACAACCCAATTTTCACCCTTAGACAGATTCTTTCTTTGCGTAAAGTCACACACACACACACACACACGCATGCGCATATATTTCCTTTTCAAAACTTAGTGTGGTTTGAAATTATTGTTTATTTAATGTCTCCTCCTCCCACATGTAAGATTGATGAGAACGGCAATCCTGTCTGACTTCTTTACCGCTGTATTCACATTGCTAAGAATGACCCTGAGTACAGAGTAGGCACTCAATAAATGTTTATAAAATGAATAAACAAACAAATGGGAGAGCAAATAAAATATTAAGCTAAGCTAGCTTCAAATGCCTTCTGTTCCCATTAGCTTATGAACAGAGATAGGAGATGGCATTATAGTGGTTAATATTTATGAATTCAATTCTGGATAGTAGGGTGGCTCAGTTACAGGGATGTCGTTTCGATGTCAATGCTTGCTTATTGGGCATACAGAAATATGTATTGCTTCTAAATTAGGTTACTCTCTAAGAACTGGGAAAGGATACAGTAAAAATCAGGGTACATCAACTCTGATGGAAGACACATGTGATAGTAAAAAAAATATGAGTTAGAACAGTTGCCTCTTAAAAAGGAAGTCAGTATTTTATAAATGACCTTGAGAAAGTTTCAATTTTTTTTTACCTGTAAATAGATTGTATTAAATCTTATTTAAAGTTCATTGTAGAACTCACTTTCCATGCTCTATGATTATGTCCAAGTTGAAATCCAGGGAGAAAGCATGTGGGCACGAGACATCTGAATGTGGAAAGATATCAAAATTGGAAAACAGGGATAGCTAATATCTGTATCTATATATGTATCTGTCTCTATGTCTATATCTGTATCTATATTCCATGTCTATCATATATGTCAATATCCTTACTGATTCAGGAAAATGGAGCATCAAATAAGAACTCTTAGCTTACTGTAACTTGTTATCTGTCATTTCCTTTCTCTCAGTCTTTGTTATTTCATTTCTAAAGTGAGGGAATTGATAACATCCAACAGTTGCTATTGTAAGTAAATCGTATACAAAAGTCTAAAACCTCTATAGAGTCTAAAACCATCTGTATGTGATAATTGTTTGCTGTTGCACAAATTTACAGAAATAGGGGAGAAACATGTTTGTTCTGATAAAACACAGAGGGTGATTACACTGCCTATGATTCAGTTTTATTATTGTTTGTGTTACTGTTGTTGATATTATCATTGTTGTTGTTTATTTAGCTAACATTTTTGAGTGTTTACCATGTGCCAAACACTGAGTGAAACACTTTATAAACTCTTTAAATCACATCAAATTTTGTCAAGTGAGTGTTAATGGAATTCTAATTTTATAGATGAGGATACTGAAGTTTTCAGAGTACTCAAGTAATTTCCCCATTGCAATGAACATCTGATAAATACTAGCACCAGAAGAAAAATCCATGCCCTTGGACACCACACGTCACAGTCTCACGAGCAGAATATTAACAAGGGTTAACTCAGAAAGTCAACTACAATGAACTAGAACTGCCTCCCTCTTTCAAGGTAGGCGTACTAGATCTACTACAGTTGCCTTGACCTTGCATGACTAGGAAAGGTTATGATGTACAACACAGGATGTCCAAAATTCTTAGTTTCCATACATAGCGCACAGATCTCAGATACCATCCCTTGCCCTCTTTGCTGACTGACCACCCCTTGTTCAACTACACCCCTGTAACCACAGCAGCAAGCACATTCTATAATATCCATTTACCCATCATATTACCTTTGCCCATAACTCTGTCCATCTACACTATTATCTGGGAATGGAGAGCAGGAGCTTGGACCTGCATATGTTTGCTATTGATGTGCAGATAATTTCTGGGATGTCCCAGCTGCTGTTGGCCCATTCTATTCAGCCCAGATGTCTATCTCTCTGAACTAAAGCCATCCTTGCCTCTCCTGCCCAGCACTCCCCCACTTCCCTTCGAATACAGAATATTAACCACATTAAGAAGCCCTTGACCAGAAACCACCATTTTATTGATATCAACATTTTGGGTTTAACACACTTTAAAAACCTCTATCTTACCTCCCCAACATATTGAATTTAAGATGTTTTGAAAACCAAGTTCTCTAATTTAACTACTTAATTGTTGTGTGTTTTTTTTAAGTGCATCACATGGTATGAAACCAACTTGACAATATGTAATGTAAAATTTAGACCAATATAAAATGACAACTACAATATGTGATTCCGGACAAATTTGTCCTGGCTCTATTTCTACATTTACTATGGTGAGAGATTCACCAGTTGGTAGGCAGGGACAGATGGTAGAAGGTTCAATGTTAGGTTGACCTCACAGCTACTTCCTAATAATATCTTCCTTCGTAGTACTCTGGAGCCTCAAAAGCAAGAAAATAATAATTTTAAAAAACCAGTTCACATGCATCAAGCACATTTCACTTTACAAATCACAAAATATCTATTTCAATCCTCACCTGAAACTGGGAAACATATATTATTAGTATCTCCAATTACAGAGACCTAGATGATTATGTGGCTTTACCAAGGCCACATTTTAGAATAAAAACAAAGCTATTACTTGAATATATTTTTTTCCTAACTTCTAGTTATATATTTTCTCTATCTCACTATGGCAGTCCTGCCAATATTTAAAAATAATTAGCATCCCAGCTGTCTTCTCTGTACCAAACTAAAATCCCTTGGTTAATGTTTGGAGGTAAACTGATTAGTGTAAACAGTGTCCCAAGCAAAGGACTGCTATCCCCCTTTGCTAATGTTCTACTTGGGTTTGGGGTTTAGTCTGGTGCTACTTGCTAAGAGCAAATTTGGGGAGAGTGGCAATTTGTTAAGGGGTACAGAAACTGTCATATGAGGATTAACAGGATATCTGTAGATATTTCATCTATAAGAGAGGGAATGGCATTTGCCTTCAAGTGTTTGAACAATTTTTGAAAATTCTTTTTTTTTTAAGATTTTATTTATTTGTCAGAGCAGCAGGGAGTAGCAGAGGGAGAGGGAGGAGCAGACTCCCCACTGAGCAGGGAGCCAGACGTGGGGCTCGATCCCAGGACCCTGGGATCATGATCTGAGCTGAAGGCAGTCGCTTAACTGACTGAGCCACCCAGGCACCCCAATTTTTGAAAATTCTATGCATTTTGTGTAGTTCCAGAAGCTAAATTAAGATAGCAGATGCATGTTAGAGGGAAACTAACTTCAGTCCATTCTACCTTGTCTAGGTCAAGTCTAATATTTCATTGTATCCTGAGTCCTTCTGATGAATGAACATATGAATTAATGAGGAAGATATTTTAGAAGTCACAACTCTCTAACTTGAAAATTGACTGCTTTACAGGCATGATCCAACCTAACTCTCAAACCCTTACATGAAACACTTTTTTCATGACCCAGGTATTCATCCGCTGCTCTGTACCCTTGGTCCCCATTTTCTATTTTAAACCCCCATTATGGGGTGCCTGGGTGGCTCAGTCAGTTAAGTATCTGCCTTCAGCTCAGGTCATGATCCTGGGGTCCTGGGATTGAGTCCCATGTTGGGCTCCCTGCTCAGCGGGGAGTCTGCTTCTCCCTCTGCCCAGCCCCCCCGCCCCGGGCACACACTCTCTCTCTCTCTCTCTCTCAAAAATAAATAAATAATTTTTTTAAAAGTTTTAAACCCCCATTATGTCCCCAATGGATCTCAGAAATAAATCAATTAGGAATGCTTTCAGCTGCAAGTTAGTAGGATACTTGACTAAAAGTGCACGTTGTGGAATTTTAGAGTTCACGCAGAGTCAATGCCACAAAATATAAGACTGGAAGTGCCAGTGGCATAACATAGTGAGCCCAACATCACTGGAAGAAGCTGAGTTACTAGACTCCAACAAAAATGCCATAGAGGGGATTCCCACAGTGAGTAGGAGATTGGTCCCAAGCAGCATTTGTTGACATGGGATCTGATGGCCATCTGGATCACACAGACACATTCTACAATCCATAAAATTGGCTATTGTGATTATGTTGTAGAAAAGATCACTCTGGATATTCTATCGTGAACAGATAGCTGCAGAACAAAAGCAGAAGCAAAGAGACTGCA